CACAACGGGAGGACATGAACACCTTAATCAAGAAGAAGTAGAAAAGATTGACTTCATGAAAGTGATTGACGACCTTAAACAGCATGTTGCAGCACGCCGCTACTGCCAGCAGAAGAGACGACTGCAACAGGATCCTTCTCAGAACACCCTTTATTGGAGCACTTACACTTGAGGTTTGAAAGAGGCAAGAAGACCCCGTCCCCGTGGAAGCAGAAGAATATATACGGTGCCAGACAAAGACCTGATGTGTCATCAACCCAATGGCTCAGGCCAGAATGGAGCGATAAACGTGCTAAATAATGATTGGCCAGATCGGATGGCCAGATCGAAAGACTCCCCGCGCTGGAGGGGGGAGCTTGTGCGCATGCGCACAAGTTCTCTCAAGTTTGACGTGGAACAGCAAGCGGCACCCAGGCTCCGTGCCCACGACATGACAGCGCCATGGTGCACGCTACATCTGACAGCGCCATGGTGCACGCTACATCTCCCCCTTTTATATTTTAAAGCAGAAACCTGATCTAGTTTGAGACCTCATGATGTCCCCAACGATCAAGGGTTAGGGTGCGCTGTGCGCGTCATGCTGTGTATCCTCTCATGTGCAATGGCAGCAAGGCCTATGAGGTGCAAGGACTACCAGCACGTTTAAAAAACATTGAGAACTGGGTGTGCCTGTCCCAGTGCAATGTCTCTAACGACTTGGGGTGCGGAGGCCACATCCAGTTATAGGTCATGCTTGAGGCTAGCCAGCCAGACCTGAGGGGAGATGCCATGTTCAAGGGCGGCAAGGGCCTGGACTATAATTGCTTTGTCCCGAGCTTGCCATGCACGAAATCGGCGCAGAAGCCAAAGGCAGAAAAACACGCCGAGGCAACATATGGCACCGAATATACCAACCCCCACCCACTCCTTAAAGAAAGAAAAAGCGGATTGCAGCCAATCAGTAAATTGTCCAAGGGTTATGGGCTGTATACGAGTATCGTTCAAGGTAGCAATCTGCAACAGCTGGTCCTGGATCAGGTTCTCCGCTTCCTTGGACCAGTTGCCGGCAAGGAATTCGCCTAGGATCTTTGATTCATTTCTGGAATTATCAAAAGAAAGTGGGGTTATGCATATGCTTTTGATACGAAATGCAACCCATTTGAACCAAATCAGCCAAATCATTGATTTGACTTTGTAAAAAATCAATTCTTTGATTAGCTGCCACTATGCCTGACAGCATGTGTCTATTTATTCTGCTTTGAGTATCCAGCACTGTAGCTGCCTCTGCAACCACATTATTAATGGTATCTGCAGTTTGTACTTGATTGGTCATAGCCACTGCTGTGGTAACCGTGGCAGCCGCTGACACCGCTATCGCTGTTACTATAGCGGCGGTGAGTCCAAAATCCCTTCGTTCTCGTAAAAGAGTAACGAGTGGGAATGCATCAGGATCCGTTTTAACAGGAATTGGCATGAATGTTGGTATCCTCATAACCACTACAAGGTTCCATGTAGCATTCCAGCATTGAGCTAGAAAGCAATCGGTACTCCTGCAATCTACCTCTTGGGTAGCATTAGTAATATTAGTTAGCAGAAACACAAAAGGAGAAGGCACACACACTGGTGCTGCCGCCAAGGTAGTATTGGCCAGCTCCTCCTCCTGAAGTACACGAAGTCGCCTACCAAGGGATGTTTCGGTTACTATACCAGAAACATTAATCAGCCGGGTGGTGAGCTTTTGGATTTGGGCTAAGGCGGAAATGTCTGCTGTTGCTCCTGCCTCATTGGAAACCAACCATTGATACCAGGACCACCCATCCCCTATGGTTGAACTTTTGTTTGACTGATTATAAAAATATCTCTTCATAGACGGAGAAAGGGAGAATCCCTGTGAAATCTGTAACTCCTCCCGTGTCCTGCCCTGACAGGCAGTATAGGTGGGAGGGAAAGAAAAATCTGGGACACAGTGTGGGGATGCTTTAAATTCAGTGCTATTATAATATCTAAGAGAGGGATCTTTCATAGGCACCAACAATGTGGTATTCATAGCCAAGGTGGTAACGTTAACTGAAGTTGCATTACTGGATGTACCACCGCCTGATTGGGCACCCTGAACAATCTGATTTAAAGCTGATGCCAATATGCCTATATTCACCTAACTATAAAGCAAGGGATCCATCCAATTAACCAAATTCTTTTGTTTTAACAGAATGTATGGGGTTTTATGTTCCAGGGAAAAACAAAAGGTCCCATGAAGCACAACTTTAGTTGAATTAAATCGTTCTATCTTATCATCTCTTGGGACCATACAAGGGGCTTCCATATCGCATGAGGTGGAAACCAAGGTGGGAATAATAGAGGAATTAGCGTGAACAGGCATAGGTATTGGCCATGCCCTGGTTACTGCCCACAGTTGCATCATTTTCATCTGTATCATTGGCGTCCACAGGAGGAGAATCAGCACCACGAGAGTCGTCTTCATTGTCCTGTATCAGTTTCAGCTCTCTTGTCAGTCTTGCCGGGACCCAAACCGGTTGTTCCTGGCCCTGTGGAAAAATACAAACAGCTCCCCTGGATCTAGCAATCACTGGATCCGGGCCACACCATGTGTTATTTAACACATCTTTCCACTTTACTTCAACGTTTTCGTTGGGTAGAGCCCCAGCATGTCGGCTGGCCGCTGATCGTCCCTGATCATCAAGGTTTAAAAAATTCAGAGTGAAAGTAGCTAAGGATATGGCATTCTTGGGTGAATAGCCCTGGGCTACTCCCCCTTTTTGTTTTTGTAACATTTCCTTTAACGAGCGATTAGCCCGTTCTACAATGCCTTGCCCTTGTGGATTGTACGGCAGGCCAGTGTGATGGCAAACACCCATCTGAGAGCAAAACTGCTGAAAGGTTTTGGAGGCATACGCAGGACCATTATCAGTTTTTAAGCGTTTGGGTTTACCCCAAGCGGCCCATGCCTCCAGGTAAATGAGTTATAACATTAACCACCTTTTCACCTGTAAAGGGTGATGCATGGATCACACCAGAACAAGTATCGACTGATACATGCACGTATTGCATACGACCAAAACTAGGTACATGGGTGACATCCATTTGCCAGAGGTCACCTGGCAGCAGGCCTTTTGGATTGACTCCAACATGTGGGGGGTGGTGAAAAGGGACACAGGCCTGGCAAGATTTAACTATGTCCCTAGCCGCTTGTCTAGGAATTTTAAATTTAAGCGTTAGTGTTCTGGCGGGCACATGATATAACTCGTGAAATTGGCGTGCTGCTGAAAAAGGATCTGATGTTATCATTGGAAAAGCTCGGGTGGCTTCGTCGGCGCGAGCATTGGCCTCTGCCATAGGACCTGGCAGCAGTGTGTGCGCTCGTATATGAGCCATGTGAAAAGGATGCGACCTCTTTCTAATAGTATCACGTATGGACAACAGAATGGAGACCACGGGGCTCCTGTCAGAGATCATTGCAGAAGATTCAAGTTGATTTATAGCATTGACCACATAATGGGAATCTGAGTAAATATTAAGAGGACCTGTAAAGGTGAGAAACACCTCCAGAACCTTTTGACACTCTACTAGTTGTGGCCTATTTGGCTCAAAATGTTTAATGACTGTCTCCCCTCCCTGGACAACATAGGCTCCCACACCAGAACTTGACCCATCAGTATATACAGTGACTGCATTATCCAAGGGGCAAGGCTTGGTCACCTTAGGAAAAATACCTGGATGATTCATGACAAAATGTAACAGTTTATCAGATGGATAATGATTATCAAACCTTCCAGAAAATGCACAGACAAGAACAGCCCAATCATCTAGTGTTGCACTCAAGACTTGTATTTGTTTAGGGGTATATGGCTGGATCAACAACTGTGGTTGCATAGCAAAATGTGTTAAAGACATCTTTATACCCATCATGGCAATAGACGCCACAGCCGTGGGATAATACTCAATTGTTTTGCGGATGGAGGCATGAGCGTGTATCCATAACAAAGGCCCATCTTGCCAAAGGACAGCTGTGGGTGCTGACTTATTATGCAAAACACACAACATTAATTGTTTATTTGCATCATATCGTCTTAACTGTGCATTTTGAATGGCCTGTTCAACCCTCACCAAGGCCTCTCTTGCGTCCTGTGTCAGCATTCGAGGGGACGTCACTCTTGGGTCTCCCTCCAAAATTTTAAATAGGGGTCTCAACTCAGCTGTAGTGAGCCGAAGGTACGGCCGAAGCCAGTTGATATCACCTAGCAATCTTTGAAAATCATTAAGTGTTTTAAGATTGTCAAGTCTCAGACTTATTTTCTGCGGTCTTATAGCTTGTGGGGTTATAATAGCTCCCAGGAATCGTCCCACCTCTTCCTTCTGTACCTTTTCAGGAGCAATTTCCAGCCCACATTTCCTAAGTGCATCAACGGTGGTAGAAAACGCCAAATCAAGCACATCATTAGTAGGGGCAGCTATCAAGATATCATCCATATAATGGCATAATCTCAAATTTGGAAATTTTAAGCGCACTGGCTCCAAGGCCTTTTGAACAAACAACTGGCACATGGTAGGGCTATTGGCCATTCCTTGGGGCAAAACCCTCCATTGATACCTTGCATCAGGTTGTTCATGACTAACGGATGGAATTGTAAATGCAAACCGAGGACAATCCTCCTTGTTCAAGGGTATCGAGAAAAAACAATCCTTTATATCAATAATAATGATCGGCCAATCTCTAGGAAGGCTAGAAAGCAAAGGCAATCCCCTTTGCACTGATCCAAATAACTGCATTTGCTGATTAACTGCTCTAAGGTCATGTAGGAGCCTCCATTTCCCTGATTTTTTCTTGATCACAAAAATAGGCGTATTCCAAGGAGATTGAGACATCTCCAGGTGCCCCAGAGCAAGTTGCTCTTTTACCAATTCTTGTGCTGCCTCCAATTTTTCTCTAGAGAGGGGCCACTGAGGGACCCAGACCGGGATGTCAGTGGTCCAGGGTATAGGGATGGCATCCTCAGTGGCCCCTAGGAAAAACCCAGGCCTTGACGTCCAGGACTCATTGAAGGCATAATCGATTCAGGGGTGCCCTGAAGCCCCTTCCCTAGTCCCTTGCCCGGAACATATCCGGACTGTAGCATTAACTGTTGACTAACATCTGAATACTGTGTAACAAGTTTTATTCTCATCTGACTCAAAACATCTCGCCCCCATAAGGAAATGGGGAGATCAAGCACGAAAGGTTGAAATAGTCCCTTTTGGCCTTCTTCATATGTCCAAGTTAATTCTTTAGCACTGACCTTTGGTGTATTGGCATACCCCAGGCCCTGTAATGTTTGAGATGATAGCTGAAGAGGCCACCGTTTCGGCCAATCCCCCTCTCTAATAATGCTGCGGTCTGCACCTGTGTCCAGCAGTCCTTGAAACGTTTTGCCTTCTATATTAAGGGCTATAATCGGCCTTTGATCTAAACCCATAGACAGACAAACAAGATCTGTGCCAGTGGATCCAAACCCTTGATCCCCTCTATTCATAGCCTTGGCTGGAAAATGGTTATGCAGACTAGGCAAGATCAACATTTGAGCTATGCAATCCCCTGGGGAAATAGCTATAATGCCCCTTGGGGAGGAACACATGATCTTAACTATGCCAGTATAATCAGGGTCTATAACACCCGGGGTTACTACCAGCCCTCTCAGAGCAGATGATGAACGTCCTAACAGTAAGCCCACAGTGTCTCTAGGCAACGGACCTTTAAAGTCTGACTCGATGGGCTGCACTCCCATTTGTGGTGTCAATACCAGCCTGGTGGCGGCACAGATGTCCAACCCTGCAGAGCCCGTGGTTGCCCTTTGGGTTTCTGAGGTGGCTGCTCTGCCTGATCTTGCAATGCCCCATACATTTGAGGGCCCTGGGGACGTGGGCCCCTCTTGCAGTTTTTTGAACCTGGTGGATTAGTAATGGGCCGGCCAGAATCGGATGGATTAGTAATGGGCCGGCCATTGATGTCTTTCACCGACCGGCATTCATTTCCCCAGTGCCTCCCCTTTTTGCATCTCGGACAGAGGCTGGTTGACGTCCTCCACCTCCCTGCCTCCCTTCTCCATTCGGACATGTTTTTCTTATATGACCCGGCTGGCCACATTTAAAACAGACTCCTGGTCTATTGCCAGACATCCGGGCAGCAGCCAAAACAGCAGCTGCCAGTCCAGAATTAGTCAATGGCCCTCCTATTTCCCTGCAAGCTTTCATCCATGCTTGGAGTCCTTTTCCTTTCCAGGGGGTGATTGCCCTCCTACATTCTTTGGTACATTGTTCATAGACGAGTTGCTCTACTAAAGGCATACACTGGTCCATGTCGCTAAATACTCTTCCTGCTGCCTCCATCATTCGAGCAACAAAGTCTGAAAATGGCTCTGCTGGTCCTTGTATTATCTTGGTTAAATTACCCGACACTTGGCCCCTGTTACGCAGGGCTTTCCAGGCTCGTGTGGCTATTTCATTAATTTGTTGGTAAACCTGAATAGGAAACACGGTCTGATTGTTTATCCACTGTCCTTGACCTAGTAACATGTCTGCTGTCCAGGCAGCATTGCCGTTATCTGCATTAATACGGGCTTGCGCATAAGCATAGTCGGTATAAATGGACCTGAAGTCCAAGTATTGGCCTAAAGTAACACATGCCTTAACAGTACTCATCCAATCAGCAGGTGTCATTGCCGATTGTCCTAGGCGCTCTACAAGTCCGAGCGTGAAGCTCGCAGACACTCCATAAGTCTGTGTGGCCTCAGCCAAGTCCTTCAACTGTTTATAAGCAACCGGCTCATGAAACCTCTGGCCTGTGTTGGGATCCTGAAAGACGGGGAACACAGCAGCCAATCGGCTCCATGTGCCAGGCTTAATGAAGGAAGCTGACGTGGCAGGAGGTGCCGATGGGCCACTCCTGGTACCACTAGCTCTAGGTGAATCATATGGCGGGGGCTTAGTATGCTCCGGACTACACTGTCCCCGTTCATACTGAACTGCAGCTTCCTCTAGATCTTCCTCTAGACCTTCCTCCTCCACCTCTAATTGGTCCTCATCCTCGGAGGACTCATCTATACAAAATTGAGGAAATTCCTCCAAGAGTGGATACCGCGTATCCTCTAGCTCCCTGTCTTTCTCTGGAGCTTTCTCTTCCCTTTTCCGAGAGCTCTTGTCGCCCTCCCTCTTCCGAGAGCTCTTGTCGCTCTCCCTTTTCCGAGAGCTTTTGTCGCCCTCCTTAGGCCTATGTTTTTTGTGTTCTCCTGTCATTTCTTCCTTGGTATCTAGCTCCGACATGCTATCCTGGTAGTCTAAAAGCGCTCTTCGGCCTTCTTTTACTGCCTCGACGCATTTCCCATCCCGCAAACAGGCTCGTACCAATTTCCATAATGGATGACTTCCCGGCCGAAGCTTACCCTCCGCCTTTGCTGTCTCGAGGGCCCTACCTAGCTTGTTCCAGCAGGGGAGATTGATGTCCCCAGAACCTCCAAACCATGGTGCTACTCGATCCACATCCTCCAAAAACTTTCTTATGGTACCCTCGGAGATTTTTAGATCTCGGTCCCTAAGCAGCCTCTGGATAGGGCGCGAGAAAGGCGCCATGCCAGCGGGTCCAGATGCTATATTTCCCATGCTGTACGTTATCTGCACACCTTATGCACGAGTTGAAATGCCTACCTATCTACACCGGGCTTACTTTCAGTTTCACTTACTGCCAGTCCCAGCAAATACACTCTTGACCGGCTCTATGAAAACGTGGAAAAAAGGCAATGGGTCAGCACCAAGACGACCATACCCCGAATGACAGGGGCTCCCCAGAGCGGATTCACTCCTCCACTCAGCACGTCAGAAGTAATACTCACGGAGAACTCACCGGGGCCTCCGCTCCGAGCGTCTAAGTTCTGAATCCTCCTGCTTCCGCAGGGGTCTCTGCCTGATGCCGTGATGGAAGTCCCGGGGTTCGGCACCACTTGCAGCACGCTGCTACTGCCAGCAGAAGAGACGACTGCAACAGGATCCTTCTCAGAACACCCTTTATTGGAGCACTTACACTTGAGGTTTGAAAGAGGCAAGAAGACCCCGTCCCCGTGGAAGCAGAAGAATATATAAGGTGCCAGACAAAGACCTGACGTGTCATCAACCCAATGGCTCAGGCCAGAATGGAGCGATAAACGTGCTAAATAATGATTGGCCAGATCGGATGGCCAGATCGAAAGACTCCCCGCGCTGGAGGGGGGAGCTTGTGCGCATGCGCACAAGTTCTCTCAAGTTTGACGTGGAACAGCAAGTGGCGCCCAGGCTCCGTGCCCACGACTTGACAGCGCCATGGTGCACTCTACATCTGACAGCGCCATGGAGCGTGCTACATCTGACAGCGCCATGGTGCGTGCTACATCTGACAGCGCCATGGTGCGTGCTACATCTGACAGCGCCATGTTGCGTGCTACAGCATGTAAAAAACGCCCTTATAGAAACGGATGAGAAATATAACAGAAAGTTTGAACAACTGAATAAATCAGTGAATGATACCCTAGAAAACCAAGGAAAAACAATCAAACAAATAATGGAAACAGTTCAAGACTTGAAAACTGAAATGGAGGCAAAGAAGAAAACACAAACAGAGGACTGGCTGGACATGGAAAATTTAAGTAAACAAACAGAGTCTACAGAAACAAGCATAACCAACAGAATACAAGAGTTAGAAGAAAGAATCTCAGATTCTGAAGATACCATAGCGAAAATAAACACACTGATCAAAGAAAACAGCAAGTCCAACAAACTCTCATCACAAAATATTCAGGAAATATGGGACACAATAAAAAGACCAAACCTAAGAATAATAGGAGTAGAAGAAGAAGAAGAAGTGCAGCTCAATGGTCCAGAAAATTATATTTAATAAAATTATAGAAGAAAACTTTCCCAACCTAAAGAAAGATATACCTATGAAGGTTGAAGAAGCATACAGAACACCGAATAGGCTGGATCAAAAAAAAAATCCCCTCGCCATATAATTATCAAAACACAAAGCATAAAGAATAAGGAAAGAATATTAAGAGCTGCAAAGGAAAAAGGCCAAATTACTTATAAAGGTAAACCTATAAGACTTACACCTGACTTCTCCATGGAAACCATGAAAGCCAGAAGGTCCTGGATAGATGTACTGCAGAAACTGAGAGACCATGGATGCAAGCCCAGATTACTATACCCAGCCAAGCTTTCATTCACTATAAATGGAGAAAATAAAATTTTCCAGGATAAAAACAAATTTAAATAATACGCAGCCACAAATCCAGCCTTACAGAAAGTATTAGAAGGAAAATCACTAACCAAGGAGTCCAACAATGACCACAATAACTCAGTCATCTAGAGACCCTTCACCAACACAAATCAAAGAAGGGAAACACACAAACTCTACGAATAAAAAAATGACCAGAGTTAACAACCACTGGTCATTAATATCACTTAATGTCAATGGACTCAACTCACCTATTAAAAGGCACAGGCTAAGAGATTGGATACGAAAACAGGTTCCAACATTCTGCTATTTACAAGAAACACACCTCAACCACAAAGACAGGCACCTACTCAGAGTAAAGAGCTGGGAAAAGGCTTATCAAGCAAATGGACCCAAGAAACAAGCAGGTGTTGGCCATAGTAATCTCTAACAAAATTGACTTCAAACTTAAATCAATCAGAAGAGATGGAGAGGGGCATTTTATATTCATAACAGGAACAGTTCATCAGGATGAAGTCTCAATCCTGAACATCTATGCCCCTAATATAAAAGCACCCACGTACATAAAATAAACATTGCTAAAACTCAAGGCAGCCATCAAACCGCACACACTAATAGTAGGAGACTTCAACACTCCTCTCTCACCAATGGACAGGTTAATCAGACAGAAACCTAAAAGAGAAAAAAGAGAATTAATGGAGGTAATGAATCAAATGGACTTAACAGACATCTATAGAACATTCCACCCAAATAGAAAAGAATATACCTTCTTCTCTGCAGCTCATGGAACCTTCTCAAAAATCGACCACATAGTTGGTAACAAAGCAAACATCCACAGTTACAAAAAAATATTAGTAACCACCTGTGTCTTAGATCACCATGGATTAAAGTTAGAATTGAACAACAATGCTACCCCAGAAAGCCTACAAATTCATGGAAACTGAACAGTCAACTACTGAAACATACCTGGATTAAGGAAGAAATTAAGAAAGAAATTAAAGTCTTCCTGGAATACAATGAAAATAAAGAAACAACATACTCAAACTTATGGGACACTATGAAAGCAGTCCTAAGAGGAAAGTTCATAGCACTAAGTGCCCACTTAAAGAAAACAGAGAAAGCTCACATTGTAGACTTAACAGCACACCTGAAAGCTCTAGAAAAAAAAAAGAAGCAGACTCACCTAGGAGGAGTAGAAGACTGGAAATAATCAAACTGAGGGCAGAAATCAACAAAATAGAAACACAGAAAACAATACAAAGAATCAATGAAACAAAAAGCTGGTTCCTGGAGAAAATCAACAAGATTGACAAACCCCTATCCAAACTAATCAAATGGCAGAGAGAGAATTTGCAAATTAATAAGATCAGAAATGAAAAGGGGGACATAACCACAGACACAGACGAAATTCAGAGAATCATTAGATCTTACTACAAAAGCCTATATGCCACAAAACTGGAAAATGTAAAGGAAATGGACACTTTTTTAGATAAATACCATATACCAAAGTTAAACCAGGACCAGGTGAACAATCTAAATAGACCTGTTTGTCGCGGAGAATTAGAAGCTGTCATCAAAAACCTCCCTACCAAAATAAGCCCAGGACCAGATGGTTTCAATGCGGAATTCTACAGGAACTTCCAAGAATACCTAATACCTATACTCCTTAATGTATTTCACAATATAGAAACAGAAGAGGCATTGCCAAATTCCTTTTATGAAGCTACAATTACTCTGATACCAAAACCGCACAAAGACTCAACCAAGAAAGAGATTTATAGACCAATCTCACTCATGAACATCGAGGCAAAAATCCTTAACAAAATACTGGCAAACCGAATCCAAGAACACATTAGAAAAATTATCCATTATGATCAAGTAGGCTTCATCCCAGGGATGAAGGGCTGGTTCAACATACGAAAATTTATCAATGTAATCCAGCATATAAATAAACTGAAAGAAAAAAACCTTATGATCATTTCATTAAATGCTGAAAAAGCATTTGACAAAATTCAACATCCCTTTATGATAAAAGTATTGGAGAGATTAGGGATACAAGGGTCATACCTAAATATAATAAAAGCTATATACAGCAAGCTGACAGCTAACATCAAATTAAATGGAGAGAAACTTAAAGCCATCCCACTATACTTAGGAACACGACAAGGCTGTCCACTCTCGCCGTACCTCTTCAATATAGTGCTTGAAGTTCTAGCAATAGCAATAAGACAACATAAGGGGATCGAGGGGATTCGAATTGGAAAGGAAGAAGTGAAACTTTCGTTATTTTGCAGATGATATGATAGTGTACATAAGCGAACCCAAAACTCCACCAAAGAACTTTTACAGCTGATAAACAGCTTAATAATGTGGCAGGATACAAGATCAACTCCAAAAAATCAGACGCCCTCTTATACACAAAGGATATGGAAGCAGAGAGGGAAATCAGAGAAGCTTCACCTTTCACGATAGCCACAAACAGCATGAAATATCTTAGGGTAACTCTAACCAAGGAAGTGAAAGATCTATTTGACAAGAACTTTAAGGCATTGAAGAAAGAAACTGAGGAGTATACCAGAAAATGGAAGGACCTCCCTTGCTCTTGGATTGGGAGGATCAACACAGTAAAAATGGCAATTCTACCAAAGGCAATTTATAGATTCAGTGCAATCCCCATCAAGGTCCCATCAAAATTCTTCACAGACCTTGAGAGGACAATAATCAACTTTATATGGAAAAACAAAAAACCCAGGATAGACAAAACAATCCTATACAATAAAGGATTGTTTGGAGGCATTACCATCCCTGACTTCAAACTCTATTACAGAGCTACAGTGATGAAAACAGTGTGGTTCTGGCATAAAAACAGAGAAGTCGACCAATGGAATCGTATAGAAGACCCGAATTTTAACCTACAAACCTATGAACACCTCATTTTTGATAAAGGAGCCAAACGTATACAATGGAAGAACGAAAGCATCTTCAAAAAATTATGTTGGCATAACTGGATGTCAACCTGTAGAAGATTGAAAATAGACCCATATCTATCACCATGCACAAAACTCAAGTCCAAATGGATTAAGGACCTCACTATCAGTCAGAACACCCTGAACCTGATAGAAGAGAAAGTGGGAAGTACCCTACAACAGATAGTCACAGGAGATCGCTTCCTATGTGTAACCCCAACAGCACAGACATTAAGGGCAACATTGAATAATTGGGACCTACTAAAACTGAGAAGCTTCTGTAAAGCAAAGGACACTGTCACTAAGAGAAAAAGGCAACCTACTGACTGGGAGAAGATCTTCACCAACCCCGCAACAGACAAAGGTCTGATCTCCAAAATATATAGAGAACTCAGGAAACT